GCGCGGGCACAGGGGCCGTCAGCAGGCGCCCTGGGCTTCGGGCTCGTTTCATGAAAGCGATTAACACGCAGGCGCGTGGAGTCCGTGTGCACTTGTGGGTTTTTCCAAAATGGGTGCTTCCGTGCTGTCTGTCGAGCGTGTGGTCCTGAGCGCTGGGCAGGGCCAGCCCACCTGGACCTTAACTCACTAACTCCTGCCCCTGCTCTGCGCCCACCCCGCCTCCCCCGGGCACGCGCCACGCTAACGCTCAGTGTTCTCTTCTCTCCGCAACCCGTCCCTTTTGTAGGCACTTACCTGGGTAAGTAGTGCCGGGGCCCCGCTCTCACATGGACACGGTCACACAGAGACATTCATACACACGGACACATGGGCACACTCACACACATGGGCACACCCAGAGACATTCATGCACATGCACACGCTCACACAGACACGCTCACACACACACACACACACACATGGACATGCTCACACACAGACACACGTGCACACTTTCACATAGACATGCACACATGGGCATGCTCACACTTGGGCACTCATACACATGGACACACACACTGACATTCACACATGGGCACTCTTACACACGGGCACGCTCACACGGGCACGCTCACACGGGCACGCACGGGTACCCTCACACATGGGAACGCTCACACACACACACGCCCAGCACATGGGCACAGGGAGGCGGTGTTGGCCCTGACTTGCTCAGGTTCTCACGCAGCATGTGGAGCCGGGGCCTCCGTGCAGCCGGCCGGCGGTGTGACCAGGACGGCGCCTGTCCTGACTCCTGGCGGGGGCCCCGCTGGGTGTGGGCTGTGGGGTGGGTGGGCCCTGTGGCCTCTCCCCAGGCAGGCCGAGGGTCCCAGGGTGTGAGTGCGCCAGTGCCTCATGTTCTGTCCCCCTCTTGTCAGGCCTGACGAACCACGGACAGACCAGGCACATGGTAAGAGGGAGGGCACACGTGTGCACATGGCCCTGGGCTTGGGGAGGAGGTCCAGTGGGACCCGTGGAGGGCAGGCAGGGGGTGCCCTGGGCCCTCAGAGTATCCCCCGGCCCCTTGGAGTATTGGGGTGCAGGGTGGAGGCCCAGGGACACCCCTCACACCTCCCCTTGCCCAGGGACCAAGCCGGAACCTCCTGCTCAATGGGAAGTCCTACCCCACCAAAGTGCGCCTCATCCGGGGGGGCTCCCTGCCCCCCGTGAAGCGGCGGCGGATGAACTGGATCGACGCCCCCGACGACGTGTTCTACATGGCCACCGAGGAGACCAGGTGGGGCCCGGCCACA